TTGTTCCATACGTACCTGCACAGAACAAACCTGGACTTGGAGATGAAGGCGCTCTAGTTTCTCTGGGGAGAAAAAGTAGCACTGCTTTTGGTCCTGTGCTGCCTGGTGATTAAGTGCTGGCAGAAACATCTCAGTGGATGTCCCAGCCCCTCTGGCCAGATTTGTATGTGGCCCCATTAGACAGTACTGTGGTATAAAAACTTGCAACTTCCCACCGCCCATGAAACCATCCTGTGCAGTTCCAGTAAGATAAGCCCTGAAATGACATTTGTTTGTTATTTCTTCTGTGTGCATCTCTCCCGTTAGCAGGGGACACGTACAGCTGAATTCCTGTTTTAACATTCCTGTGATGTGATTCAAGACCAGCCTGCTGTGCTGTCACCTGAAATCTCCAATAAATACTGCAAAACCAGCGTTTGGGTGTTTGTTACTGTAATGCAGGGCTCAGCGAGGCGCTGGGCAGGTCCACACAGTGCGCTGAAGCCACCCCAACCAGGGCTGTACCTGCTCAGCGATGCTCGTGGTGTGCACGGCGCGCAGGGTCGTGGCCGTCTCCTGTTTTGTCCAGAGAGGCAGCAAGGAAAGCGGAACGGGCAGCCACCGAGCGACCCGGCCGCGTCTCGAGCGGAGGCGCTGGGGCGAGCAGAGCAGCCCCCTGCCCTGGGGCGAGCAGAGCAGCCCCGGCTGCCCGCAGAGCCTCCCGGGAGAGAGCGCGGAAGCCGCGCGCGGCGTGAGGACGCCCCGGGTCCCAGCTGAGCTTTCCCAATAGCTTCTCGGCAGACTCTGTAAGCTGATACCCACCCCTGCGCCGGCCCCGGCCCGGGCGGGCGCTAAAAGCTCCTGCTGAGCGAGCACTGGCGCTCGCGGGAGAGGCGGAGGGGCCTGGCGGCAGGGGAGGATGCTGAGCTGGGCCAGTCGAGCGCTGCCCTGTGCCCTCGGCGAGGTTTGCTCCCGTACCCCGGCGTGTCGCGGGCGAAGCGAGCGGGCTCTGCTTTCACTCCGTGTGCTCAGACGTGTGCATCCCGTTCCTGGCGCAGCATGTGCCCGCTGCAAAGCCCCAGCCATGCCGAAGGAGAGAGCTGGCCCGGTAAGAACAGGAGCACATAAATTGTTCAAGAGTCAAGGGAAGTCAGTTAGTTAAATGCAAGTGGGAACTTATATAATGCATCTTTTTTAAAAAATCCTGCTGGCAGGAGGCTCCGTGGGGAAAGAAACTTGCTCATCCATAAACAAGAAAATTTCCCGACCTCCTCTAGTGCTTTGCGATCTTTTTTTTTTTTTCCAGGGCAAGGTAGAGTGTTTTGGTCTTCACCATGGTGGGAGAGGAGACACGTGCACACACACACACACACACACAAAGGGACAGTCATGGTTATGTGAGGAGCCGCCGCTGCCCCGCACGGACACGCGGTGCCTACGCGGGGCCCTCTCAACCTCTGCCTTCCCCAGAGCGATGCAGCCGAGTGGGCTCTGTCTTCTCCAGCTGCTCACACCTTCTCTCACATAGCGGTGCTGGAGCCGGTGCCTTACAAGTATTAAAAAGGCAAAGCCTGGGCTGGGAGCAAGCACCAATGCTGACAGCACTCGAGATTAAATTAAAAACAAAAACAAAAAAACAGAACTAAGAAAGAATAAGAGACAAACACGACCACCAGTCGGAAGCGTTTCAATATCCGCCAAGCCTGCTGCCCCTGGAGCATCCCTGTGTTGGGACGAGCCGGCCAGCCCAGGCCACCGCGTGCGCTTGGGCCAGCACCTCACTCACCACTTGGTCGCCCCGCAGCTGGGATGCCTCGTACGCCGGGGTTTTGTTTTAAGGAAAAATCTTGGCTTTGTTTTAATCTCGTAACAATGAGTAATTCCTTCCTCCTGCTCTGTAGTGGCCTAGAAAAGGACAGCATCATCTCCACTGTAGCAAGAAGGCTTCTCCCAGGGCATAAAATTTTAATTAGGAACAATCGCGCAGCCTTGAAATGGGAATTGCAAGCAGCAAAAGTCAAATCATCAATAAAATATTCAATGGCAGAAATGTATTATTGACACAGCCTCTCGAGCAAGCTAAAAGCGGAGAGGCCGAGCGC